TATTATCTATGATAACCAATTTAGAAATCTTGTTTCCTGCATCAAAGTAGGGGTTCCCACAGTGTGCAGCATTGTGCTCCTGATATAGAAGACCTCTATAAGTAGCATTCAGGTTCAGTTCAGTTCTTACTGTGAAAACTAGTTATCATTTTATTCATTAACAAATTGACTTTTATTTTAAAATCTTCAGGGATTTCTGTCTTCCAGCCTTACATTTTCTTCCCATTTTGCCTTAATGAATTCAGTGTTACCACCTCCCTCTGTGCATTTAATTACTGTAGTGATTGCTTACTGTGTATGCTACATGATGTGGAAAGAATACAGAAGTTAAAAACAAAGCATTCTCCCTGATGTCCCTGAGGAGAGAAACCAAAATCCATAAAAATTAAGAAAACATATTAGCTACCTATACATGTGCCAGAAGAGTGATCCAGATAAGGGCAAACCCCGGTTGGCCACAGTAATGCGACATTAGCATCACCCAGCTGAGCCCTGGACTTTTGGTCATGATGCTCAGAAGGCCCAATTTACCATTGTTTCTGTTCATCCTACAACTACATTCACTTCCCTTTTGTATCCTGTTTGAAAATATTTCCTAACTTTCACATTGTCTTGTTTTCTTCTCCCTTGCCTCCAAGAAGAGGAGTTAGTTTTTATTTCTATAAACTTCTACAAGTATGTGCTTTTGATGCACTACTGAACAAGTTTCCGAATTTTTAAAGTGATAAAAGATAGCTTTTTTAAATCTTAAATGATGACTACAAAAGCATGAACAAAAACATTTAGAAAAATGTCCAAGTATAAGAAGATAGTTTTACTGTAAAAATCTGTTCTGTGCGCTCCATGACCACCTGTGCAGAAGACCATGGGTCATAGATATGCAGGCCTGCCATGCCCCCCAGGAGCATAGACCCAGGTACACAGTGTGTCTATTGACTGATACAGGTGGAAAGTGTAGGGTGTGGTAATGAGACACTCTCTGCAGCCTTGGGAAATCACAGGAATAGTGACTTTCCTGGACCTTTGTCCATACAATTCTGAATATAATTAATAGCTCTATAACAAATTTACCAATTTACATTTTAAGAAAAAGAAGTTTGGTTTAGGACATAATACCATTTACTACATAACTAGCTTAATGTATTGGATGTCTTGAAGGTGGAATGCTGTTAAAAAAATATAAACAGGTCCCAAAAATGTTGGATGCCTTCAGAGTTTTCTACCTGATTGCTGAGATATCCCAGGTAGTTTAAGACTATAACTTTCATAGTTTCGACTTAGATTTTACCTAGTATCTCAGTCTCACAAATATCCTGTTTCCCCTGCAGAACAAATAATAGCTGGATCTATTACATGATGCTGTGTTGACTTATGGCACAGGAAGAAAATAAGGATTACACTTTATATTCTTTTCCTCACTTTATTTATGTTGTATTTAATATGTGAATGTGTTAAAATATATATTATAGGGCCAGGGATTTAGCTCAGTGGTTCTGTTGCGTGCTTCACAAGTGCAAGGACCTGAGTTCAATCCCCGATACTCCCCCCAAAAAATCTATTCCATTACATATAAATATATATTTAAAAACAAATATGTACATATGCATACAAGAAGATAAATACGTATTGAAAGAGTCATTCAAAATTGTCATTGTCTCTTTGTTAAACTGTGCTTGGTTATAAGTAATAGGAAGCTTGACAAATGGTAACTTAGGCATAATATAGCATTTTAATAAATAACATTTAGCTAACAAAAGTCTAGGTACTTGTGCTTATAGCTAACCTAACAGCCGGGTGATTTCCTTTGTTATCTTCACATACACATCTTTGGCAGGATGGCTTTCAAGAGCAAACTTTCATCTCATGATGCATGAATCTTACATAATCTAAAGGCCCTCTCCTTTTAGGTGAATATTGCTAATGGACACTATGCAGTGAAATGCTTAGAAAAATTCTAATATTTCAAATTTATTCATATTCACAGTTTATCTACTTATAGGAGAAGCAAACTCAGTATACTATCATTATTTATCAAATAATAAAATAATAATTACAATGCTTTCTTTGAAACCAGACAAGGCATTGTGAAGGAAAAGTATGCACATTTTAAATTAGTTATGGGATTCTCTAAGCTGTGGAAATGGAAAATCTGAGTACATATTAAGGCTCACATCTCTTTGCTGTCCCACCCAGGACTTTTTGCAGAGCCATTTACTTGGTTTTAACTTTTCTGTAATGTGCTGATAGATGAAGACTAGATAGGAAAGGAGTTGGTAGAATGGGGCATTAGCCACAGGAGACAGCAATTGTCAGATGGAAATTAATCAATTGTAATTGGTTTGCCATTGTATTGCAGTTGGAGTCTGCAATGTGTTAAAACTACTGATTATAAATAAGGATCTTATGGGCCGGGGATTTAGCTCAGCGGTTTGTGGCCTGCCTTGCAAGCACAAGGACCTGATTTCAATCCCCGGTACCAAAAAAATAAATAAAATAAATAAATAAGGATCTCACTTTTTATGCTGTGCATTATGTTAATGAAAAGCTGTTCTTAGAGGAATGATCAGTGAATATCAATAAAGGGATTATAAGAAATTAAAGGAAAAGTTAAGTGATCATGAGTTCATATACTTCAGCAGTTAGAGCAGCAGTCAACAGAGTGGCATTTCATATTGAACATTTTGCTCAAAACTGTTGAATGTTAAATACTTACCATAGAAAAAGAGACTGGCTGCCTTTGGCTGTTTGTCACATACTGTCATGGTAAACAGATCTTCACTGTATAGATCTTCTGGAAAATGGGACATGTGTCCATTCTGGCTCTGCAGAGCCTTTATTTTGTGCTCAAGTATTAATAGGCAGATATTTTGAAATGTATTAAATGAGGCCCCATTGTAACACCAACAAAATGAACACCAAAAGTCTTTTTTTTTTTTTCAATGTTCATAGTATATAAGTGAGAGTCTTGTCTGAGAGAGGCTGCGTGAATTAAAGGCATTGATTTTGAGATACTCATAGACATTAAAACCTATACAAAATGATAACATGGATGTGAAATTATATCTGACTTTCTGCTGTGTGACAGAGTAACTGTTGGTGATATTGTAAAGAGGGTGCAATGGTCATTTCTTTTTTAATGCAGCATTGAAGTGGCTGGTGATGTTATAGAGATCCGATGTAATGACGCAATTTTCACTGACCATGAGGTCTAATTAGGCCTGAACCCCTGTTTTCAAGGAACTTGCAAGATGGTTAATCTTGGGAGCAAACTATTAGGGAGCTGAATGCATAATGTGAGAAACAAGAGGTGGCAGAAGGGCCCATGGAGACATTATCTGAGCTGTGGAGGATTTCTGGGTGTTTTCTTGCAAAACAGAGGGTGGAGGAGAAAAGTGGCCAACCCAAATGAGCAGTGAGGCAGATCTGTGGACATTTGCAAGACAAAGTAACAGTTGGAAATGCAGTCCCATGCTCTTTGTGTAAGGGGAGGAGACTCAGAAAGACCAAAGTACTGAAGGCAGATGCCTTTCTTTGCTCTGTTCGGGATTTTGACTTCATTCTCATTTTCCTGTATTTGTAAGCATTTACTTATTTTTATTGACTTTTTGATGGAGCCAAAGATTGAATCAGGGGCCTCACCAGTGCCAAGCATCACTGTACCACTGAGTCTCCTCCAGTCCTGATGAGGACTCCTGGGCAGAGTGGATTTCCTTAACGGATGGTCCCTCACCTGTCACTGTGGAAGACAAACAGGGACAGACTCATTTATTTACTGAGTTGGATTCATGCATCACCCTGTTCAATATTATTACCAGTCTAGGTCTAGAGAAAGGGAAATTAAAAGAGCTTAACGGCTGAATAATGTAATAAATCCTCAACTTTTTAAATATATATTTTTCTTGACAGTTACAGTGGAATTGATATTAATACTTTAGTTACCTCAAACTCTGTAACTAGAAAAATGTCCACGTGTGGAAAAGGAACCTGTTTCCTGCAGGTAGCACCTATTTATGGTTAGATTCGTACCTAAGAAGCAGATAGAGAGATGTATTGCTTAATGAAAAATGTAATTATGATTTTAAAAATACATGTTTAAAAGAATGCTAAAAAAATGGTACTAATTTGGTCCTGTTAAATATTTACCAGAAACATTCTTCACATGTATCTACTTTAGAATTTAGAACATTTGCATTTTAATTACACAATAAAAGGAGAAAGTGAAAGAATAATTGACTTAGCTATTAGCCAATTATAGCTGTAACTAAAAAAAATTGGCATGGATTTGTACAGAAGACTCACAACATACATTGATCAGATGTTTAATGACATTTGATAACAATAAAGGAAAGGAATATTGTTTCACTTGTTCATACAACATATTTGTTAGAAGTGAAATTATTGAAAGTAGATTTGGGGTGTGTATCTCTCAACTGTTGCTGTTAATGTGCCCTCAAATGGGACTTCTTTAGAGTGACTCTAACTGTCCAAATCTAGTGAGAAAAGATAGTGGGTCCTTGATAATCTCGGGATTGGCCCTGGCTGCTCTTGTATGACGTCGTGTAGTGTTTGCATAACATATGTACTTTTACTTTATACAGTATCCAGATTACTTATTATACCTACTTCAATGTAAATGCCATATAAACAGCTAATGTTATACTGCAGTGTTTCAAGGATGATGACAAAAAGTAGTGTCTATGTGTAGAGTGTATACAATTGTATTTTTTTCTGCCATATATTTTCCATCAGTGGCTGGTTGAATCTTAGGGTGAAGAACCTGTGGGATGTAGAAGGGTGACTGTTGTTCAGTTGAATACAGTGGGTGTCACCTGATGCATTGCTTCATGCCGGAGAAGGCCTGACCTGAGTGTCTCCAGTTCTCTCTGTCATAGTCGTAGCCCATGCTCAGCCCTGGGTGCCCACACTGGAACCAGTGACAGGAACTACTCCTGTATTACCATGGCTGCTGACAATGGTTCCCTGTATGTTCCCCTCGACAGATACAACGACATATTCCACCCAGCGATCTGAGCACTTCAAGCCCTGCCGAGACAAGGACCTTGCCTACTGTCTCAACGATGGCGAGTGCTTTGTGATAGAAACCTTGACAGGATCCCATAAGCACTGCCGGTAAGTCACTGCCACCTGTGGTGCCCAGGTGAGGCCTTGCCAAGGCCCTGAGGTGGAGGGTGAGGGGAACCAAATTCTTCAGATGTGGACGGTCATGCTGACTCACAGTAGAAATGGGAATTTTAATATAAAACAGACTAAAACAGAGATCTAGTTTATTCTCCTTGAAAAAGAAACAAAGAAACAGAGTGTGTGAGGTTTGAGGTCTGTATAACCAAATAAGGCACACGTACCTTTATATTGCCAACTGATTGGAAATGGGCTTTTACTTTGGAAGTCTATGTTATGGCATCGGGTCTGGCTGCACAGCTTTGCTTGCAAATCTAAGGGCCTGGCGAAGAGAAGTGAACTAGTCATCTTAGACCTAGGATCTCTGTGTTTTTTGTGAGCCAAACCCACAGTGAGGATGTGTCCAGAGAGAATTATGTTTTGTTTTGGTTCTGTCTTCCTTTATTAATTTCAGTGCTTTTCTTAACACCTCCGATGATGAAACACTCTCGACCAAGATATTGTAAATGAAATCATAGTCCTTTTATAGTCTAGGTAGAAAACTACTTAAAGACAATTCCCAGTAGAGATCAGAAGGTGTTTAATTGGTTTCATAGGACATAAGTTTATATAACTGCTAAAACTAAAAACAAGTGGAGACAAATAGAGCACTGGTAGACACCGAAGCTTTAAGGGTCAACAGAAGAATCAAATTATGCTTTGAAAAATATTTCCCACCAAGCTTTTACTTCCAGCTTTTGTTTACTTCCAGAATCTGTTTTTCCTTTCAATTGTGTATGTTTCATTGATCATATCTATCCACACCCCTTTCCTTCTCTTTATTTACTCTTCTCCTAAGATACAGACATTAGATTAACTATTCTGAATAGTGAAGCATGGGAAACTATGACTTTTTCCTTCTCTACTGCTAATGTAAAACTTATTCCATTTCATTTTATTAAGATGGGGAAGAGCAATGCATCTTAGAGCTGCAAATTGAGAATGTGACAGCAAATCCTGCCTGGCTCCAACAGCCAGCTGGGCACATTGAGAGGATATGTGGCCAGAGGTGCAGTGGCACGGGTCTGGGACTGGTGAATGGCAGTAGCTGGTCTCTCCAAATAGAACTGGGTCCTTTCTTTTCCTTTCACTTGTGCCTTTTAGTGATTTTGGCAGTGCCATTTCATTGACTCTGATACAGAATTTTCTCTACCTTCCAATCCTCTGTGAACCTGAGTTGGGGATAAGGAAGAGTAGGGATTATTCTTCTCTCTACTCCTCACCTCTTGACTATGTCCTTGAAGACACAGTGAGAAGCCTATAAGTGCCATCAATAGCTTAAGAGAAAGTTAATGAGCGATTTTTCCAAAGCCTGATGTGTTCTCAAGGTCCCATGGGTATTCACGGTGTATTAAAATTGCATTTGTCACCAAGGGGACCATCGTGTGGAAGTAGTTGCTGTGGACAGAACGGTTTGTTCTGAGGTCCGTGTGCTAGAAGCCTAGTCTCCCGTGTGTGGATGTTGAGCTTAAAGAAGTTGGCCTAACTAGTGGAAGGTAACCAGTGTTGTGGAAGCTCTTCTCATGAATAGATTAATGCTGAAACACAAGAGTGGCTGGCTCAGGTATAAGTAGAGTGCATTAGTTTCTCCAGTGGCCATTTGTAATGCAGAAATTGAGCCTGGCTTCTCCACAATCTCCTGCTTCCTTCCTCATATATATGGCCCTTCCATGTTACACCAGTTCTCTATTTGCTTTGCTTCCATAATATTCTGTAGACAGGCAGCCCTCACCAGGATGCTATCACCATGCTCTGTGGAACTTCCAGCTACAGAATGAAGGACCAAATTAACCTTTTCATTTTATGTTGCCTAGCCAGAGGTAGTTTGTTATAGCAACACAGAGTAGACTAGACAGTAGACAAGCAGTTAAGTCTATAGTCTTAAGTCGTTGAAGAAAGGATGAGTTAGAAGTTTCAGCTCATCTAGTGACATCCTTTGATTACTTTTTATTGTAAGGTAGGGTCAAATCAGGCCTAAATACAGTGTGCAAGTCACTCTGATTCATCTTTTACAAAACTGAGTATGTAGAAAAGAACAAAATAATTATTTTATGGTCTTGCCAATTCTTTATTTGTACATGGACATTATATCCTTGCTAATTCATGGGTGTTAATTTGATAAGGATGCTCTAAAACTATGACAGACTGTGTACCTTAAGAGTAGGAATTTATTTTCTCGTAGTTCTAAAGATTAGAATTCTAAAGCCAAGGTGCCAGCAGGGTTGATTTCTCTCCCCTTTCATGATTAATGGCCTTCTTTTCCCTGGGTCTTCTCACTGTTTTCCTTTGTAGATGCCTGTGTCCAAATTTCCTCTTCCAAAACACAGATAGTATTGGATTAGAACCCACCCTAATGACCGTAAGTCATTTACCTCCGTGAAGACCTTTTCTCCAAATACGGACACATTTGGAAGTGCTGGAAGTTTGTGTTTCAATAGGTTTTTTTTTTTTTTTTTTTT